GGTCTTTACTGCAAATTGTCCAGGTTCTTGGCGTAAATAGGCAGGGTGGGTGGAAAGAGAAGGGGAAATGGTAATGTTTGGGATCTGGGTGATGAATAGGGAGAACCACTGCAAGTCCTTTCTGTGGACTCCCCCATCCCGGAGAAACCCCAGTACCGGAGTGAGCAGATCTTCTTTGCTTGGAACAGGAGCAGTGGTAGGTAGCTGGGGATGTCTCAGGATTCTCTCAGTAGCTTCTCTCAGATTGCCAGATGGAATGTTTGCAAGTGCTGCCAAGGAAACAACAATTTCAACCAATGGGAAGCATAGCCTACATGTTTCTGACTGCTTATGTTAATAACGGAGGGTAAGATGGGAGGGGGTGAGGGAAGGAGGGGAGAGCCAATCACAGCAACTGTCTGACCACAATAATAGGACCAAACTGTGGTAGCTATACCTAGCTTCTCTTCAGCTGAAGATGAGCTTGCAGGGCCATGCCAGGAAGAACAGTGATGATAAGCCTCACAGCTGGTATGTATTGGGCATCCCTATGATATGCCAGTCACTGTGTTAAGCCTTCAGTGTCTGAAGTCATTTACTCCTCACAATAGCATTATGAGGTAAGTATTAGTATTTGCATATTACAGTTGAACAGACTGAGGCACAGCAAGTACTGTCCCAAACTCAAACCCAAAGCTGTCTGACTTCATTGGCTGAGCTTTTACTTTTTCATTTCCAAATTCTGAGGTTAGGACTTCCCATGTGTACTTCATTGCTTTGCAAACCAAAAAGTTGTCTGAAACAGGTCTCAATTTACCAGTTTATTTTGCCAAGGTTAAGGATGTGTCTGGGAGACAGGTCTGTGCCTTTCTCCAAAGATGACTTTGAGGGCTTCAGTATTTATTTATTTATTTATTTGTTTGTTTATTTAAAGACAGGATCTCACTGTCACCCAGGCTGAAATGCAGTGGCACAGTCATGGCTCACCCCAGCCTCGACTGCCTGGGCTCAAGTGATTCTCCCACCTCAGCCTCCCAGGTAACTGGGACTATAGGTATGCCACCACCACACCTGGCCAATTTTTAAATTATTTATAGAGACAAGGTCTCACTCTGTTGCCCAGACTGGTCTCGAACTCCTGAGTTCAAGCTATTCTCCTGCTCCAGCCTCCCAAAGTACTGGGATTACAGCCATGAGCCACCTCACCCGACCAGGCTTCAGGTTTTGTTTGTTTGTTTTGAGACGGAGTCTCGCTCTTGTTGCCCAGGTTGGAGTGCAGTGGCGCGATCTCGGCTCACTGCAACCTCTGCCTCCCGGGTTCAAGCGATTCTCCTGCCTCAGCCTCCCAAGTAGCTGGGATTACAGGCACCCACCACCACGCCCAGCTAGTTTTTGTATTTTTAATAGAGATGGGTTTCACCATGTTGGTCAGGCTGGTCTTGAACTCCTGACCTTAGGCGATCCATGTGCCTCAGCCTCCCAAAGTGCTGGGATTACAGGTCTGAGCCACCATGCCCAGCCCAGGCTTCAGTATTTAAAGGAGAAATGCAAGGGCAGGTGCAGTGGCTCACGCTTATAATCCCAGCACTTTGGGAGACCAAGGCAGACAGATCACTTGAGATCAGGAGTTGGAGACCAGCCTGGCCAATATGGTGAAACGCCGTCTCTACTAAAAATACAAAAATTAGCTGGGCATAGTGGCGGGCACCTGTAATCCCAGCTACTCGGGAGGCTGAGGCAGGAGAATCGCTTGAACACGGGAGGCAGAGGTTGCAGTGAGCCGAGATCGTGCCACTGCACTCCAACCTGGACAACTAGAGCGAGACTCCGTCTCAAAAAATAATAATAATAAATAATAATAAAGGGGAAATGCAAGCTTGAGGGAAGAGAGGGAAGGTATGGTCACATTATTGAATCCACATGTTGCAAGAGAAAAAGAGCAGGTAGGGGAATCAATTACGTATCCGTCTCCTGCTCATTAAATCAGCACTTTACATAAGATAAAGTAAACATAGAGTAGCTACAGGTGAAGATATTTAACCTGTTATTTGTAGCTGTCTGCTCAGGAACAAAAGGAAAGGCAGCTTCTTGCATGACTCAGCTTTCAGTTTAATTTTTTTCCTTTTGGCAGAGTGAATTGGGGTCCCAAGTTTTTATTTTCCTTTCACAGCTTTCAAAGATGTCTTTTATGAATCAAAGATGAAAGAGATATAGTGCTTATCAGCTTACACTCAGGAACAATTTAACATTTTTCTTTCTCAGTTCCCTTGCCTATAAAATGGGGTTAATAACAACGCCTACAGAATAGGGGTTTTATGGGGATCAAACCAGATAATTCACGTGAAGACCAAGAACAATGCCTGGTACATCATAATCTCGCTCTATAATGATTAGATAGCCTTTCTTTTTTTTTTTGAGACGGAGTTTTGCTCTTGTTGCCCAGGCTGGAGTGCAGTGGCACTATCTCGGCTCACTGCAACCTCTGCCTCCCAGGTTCAAGTGATTCTCCTGCCTCAGCCTCCTGAGTAGCTGGGATTATAGGTGCCCGCCACCACGCCCAGCTAATTTTTGTATTTTTTTGTGGGGACGGGTTTTTGCTATGTTTCTCAGGCTGGTCTTGAACTCCTGAGTTCAAGGGATCCGCCAGCCCCAGCCTCCCAAAGTGCCGGGATTACAGGTGCGAGCTACCACACCGGGCCAGGATTTTTTTTTCCCCCTTGTTTTGTTTTCATTTTTCTTTTGGTTGGGGGAGGGGAGAGATGGGGTCTCACTCTGTCACCCAGGCTGGAGTGCAGTGGTGCGATTACGGCTCACTGCAGCCTCCACCTCCTGGACTCAAGTGATCCTCCCGCCTCAGCCTCCCAAGTAGCAGAGACCACAGGCACACACCACCACGGTCAGCTAATTTTTTGTAGAGGCTAGGTCTCACTATGTTACCCAGGTTGGTCTCGAACTCCTGATCTCAAGCGATCCTCCTGCCTCAGCCTCCCAAAGTGCTAGGATTACAGGGGTAAGCCACCCCAACGGGCTGGGAGTAGGATTCCTTATTGCCCAGAGGAGACAAACACAGGCAAAATGCTTTCGTGGAGAGAACCTGGAGAGATTTCCCAGCAGATTAGAAAGGCTCCTTCTTTGAAGCAGAAGCTTAACTTCTGTGTCCAGAACTTTACCTCTTACCCGCAGCCAAGCCCCTTACTGAAATGCACAAATTTTGGTTTCCAGGGCTCTGTAGGTCGAGAGGTCTTTTGAATCCTCACGCAGCGCGGAGGACAGGTTCTTCCACACTACTCCCTGCTCAGATGCTAGTGCAGGTATGGGTGGAGAAAATGGCTTGCAAGCCGAGATGGAGGGGAGAGCTGGGAGGAGCAGGTGGGGCAGAGCAGGAGAAGCTGGCTAGAGGCTTGCCAAGCTCAGCCCCTCCCTCCTCGGGAAGAAAACAGACTTGGCCGCTTGGGAAGCCGTAACTCCCACCCGACTCCCCACCCCCCGCGCCACACCCCCGCCACTGGCCTCTGGAAGCATCCGGACTACTGGGGGCAGGGAGGCGGCGCCGGCTGCCGGCTGGCGCGTGGTCCAGCGATGCGCCCGCGTTGTTCTGAAAGAACATGGAGACTGCACCAAGACGCGCCGCCCCAATAACAAAAATTAGCCGAGCGTGGCGGCGCGCTTCTGTGGTCTCAGGTACTTGGGAGGCTGAGATGGACGATCACTTGAGCCCGGGAGGTCGAGGCTACAGTGAGCCATGATCGTACCACCGCATTACAGCCTGGGCGACAGAGCCAGAGCCTGATGCAGGCCTGGCCACGTGGAGTGCGTCCTCTCCGTTCCCCAGGAGCCGATGGGCGGGGCGGGTCGCAAGTACACTGACCTACTGTCCTGGGCTTTCCGAGGCTGCCGGGAGCTAGACAGACCGCCAGGGGGCGAGAGGGCCAGCGCCTCCCTAGTCCTGCCTGTGGGGAGTGGAGGGGAGGGGGGAATTTGTATCAAGGATGTCGTGCTCATTAGAGAGAACTGCTTTGGAGAGCCTTGCAGATCCACACACTCTACTCTTTTTTTTTTTTTTTTTAGTTGGAGTCTCACCTTGCCCGGCGGGTCATAAGCGGCTAGTCCTGGCTCACTGCATTACCTCCGCCTCCCGAGTTCAAGCGAGATCCTTTGGTCTCAGCCTCCAACCTCCGCACTCAGCTAATTTGTATGTCTAGTACAGACGATCACACATGTTGGTCTAGATTGGCTCAGACATTCTGACCACAATGACCGCTCGCCCCCCATATTTCCATGACATATCGGCCCAACTCTTCCCTCTTTCTTCTTTCACCTTACTTCCCCTTTTATTTATTTATTATATTTTTATCTATATGGGAGGAGACCAGATCTATTCTTTCGGCCTCATGTTTCCTGGGAGTCAATGACACGACGCTGGCTCCACTGGGCAACTCGCTCCCTTTAACATAAAAAAAAAAACCGTCACAAAAGACAAATTCCCTACTTCAGCCTACCAAGTAGCTGGGATTACAGGCACGCACCACCACACCCTGCTAATTTTTGTATTTTTAGTAGAGACAGGGTTTCGCCATGTTGGCCAGGCTGATCTCGAACTCCCGTCCTCAACTGATCTGCCCACCTTAGCCTCCCAAAGTGCTGGGATTACAGGTGTGAGCCACCGCACCTGGCCTAGTTTCTTCTTGAACTGAAGAAAATCCAGGGAGATGCCCTAGGCAGGGGTAGTCTACATCACAGGACAAGGAAGAGAGGACAGAGCCCTCTCTTGGGACTCCACACCCTGGGCCTTGAATTATACTCTTTTCCACCTATGCCTCATTTTCATTCCCTCTCAGTTTCTTTCCTCTCCTCCCCTTATACTCTCATGCTCACCCTTTCACCCCTTCCCTTATTTTTTCCCCTTCTTTCTCTTCTACCAATCTCTAGCAAGGCTGATGCCACTTAGCCACAAACCTAAGCTAAACGCTGACATTCTCTGCTTGTCAAATGAACCCAGTTGGCCACCATGTATCTTTTAAGGGACTGTAAAGTGCGCAGGTGGCAGGAATTGTGAGAAGTAAAACTGACTTAAGAGGTTCCCACCCTCGATGCACTTACAATGTAGTTGGGAAGACAAAGTGTGTTCACATGAAAAAATAGCAAGTAAGTCAAAGCAGAGGACAATGAAATGCTTTCTTACCCAAAACATGAGGCATGTTGGATTTGGGCAGGTTCTGTTACCAGTAGAGGGTCTTTACTGCAAATTGTCCAGGTTCTTGGCGTTTTGAACAAAGAATTGGACAAAACGCACAGCAAAGCCAGGAAAGAAAGAAGCAAGGAAAGCAGAGACTTATTGAAAGTGAAAGTATACTCCACAGTGTGAGAACGGGCGGAGCAGTGGCTGAAGGGCCCTGATACACAATCTTCTGGGGTCCAAATACCCGCTAGAGGTTTACCATTGGTCACTTGGTGTTCACCCCTATGTTCATGAAGTCGCAGCCCACAATCAGAGGCTGAAATTACAAAGGTCACACTCCTATGCAAACATCTTATTGGTTGTGAAAAGCAGCCAATCAGAGGCTAGAGTGAAGTTAGAAAGTTGCCCTTCTATACAAGCGAAGACTTGGCCCCCAATCCGTCTGATTGGTTAGGATAGCAACCAATCAGAGGTTGAAGTGAAGTTACAAAGTTACACTCCTATGCAAACGTCTGATTGGTTGCAAAAAGCAACCAATCAGAGGTACTTTCAATTTCCCATCTGCTTTTTTCAACCAATCAGAGGTAGTTTCAATTTCCCATCTGCCACACAGAAAGGTGGGGGTTTGCAAGGGGAGCAACCTCTGGTTCTTTTGTTACTTAGGCGTGGAAAGTTAGGGCTTTCCTTTCAATTTAGTTATAGGAAGTCAGCGTGAAATGGCCTTAGGTTCCCTGCCTCCAGACCCTATTCTCCTGCCTCAGTTCTAAGCAAGTGACTTTGCTTCACGTCTCAAAGGCCACCAGACTGCCCTAGTGGGAGTGAAGAAAGAGGGAGGAGGTGGTAGGAAACCAGGGCCTTTCCCAAGCAGAGGGCCATCCTCTAACAGTAAAGGCCACAGACCTGAGTACTGTGGTAGTCAGGCCTAGGTGGGTGGGTCCTTGAGAGTCATGATGTCACAAAAACCTCTCAGAATATCCTGGCCATCCTTGAGCATGAGTACCTCATTGAATAGTGCCTCCCTCAGAACAAAAGTACTATGGCAAAACTGTTCCTGATGGCTGGATTAAAAAACATTTTTTTATTATACTTTAAGTTCTTGGGTACATGTGCACAACCAGCAGATTTGTTACATATGTGTACATGTGCCATGTTGGTGTGCTGCACCCATTAACTCGTCATTTACATTAGGTATATCTCCTAATGGTATTCCTCCCCCTCTCCCCCCACCCCACGACAGGCCCTGGTGTGTGATGTTCCCCACCCTGTGTCCAAGTGATCTCATTGTTCAATTCCCACCTATGAGTGAGAACATGCGGTGTTCGGTTTTCTGTCCTTGTGATAGTTTGCTCAGAATGATGGTTTCCAGCTTCATCCATGTCCCTACAAAGGACATGAAGTCATCCTCTTTTATGGCTGCATAGCATTCCATGGTGTATATGTGCCACATTTTCTTAATCCAGTCTATCATTGATGGACATTTGGGTTGGTTCCAAGTCTTTGCTATTGTGAATAGTGCCGCAATAAACACTCGGGTGCATGTGTCTTTATAGCAGCATGATTTTATAATCCGATGGCTGGATTTTTGATAGTGATGTCTTGAGGTTGAGATCCACGGTCATAACGAGAGTGGGCTGCTCTTGTAGGCACTGTATGAAAACTCCAGGGTTTCCCTAGAGACCAGACCAACCCCACCCCAAATACTAAGTTCTTAGATATAAGAGAGAAGAGGAAGCTTCTGGTAGCCGGGGTGACTTCTGGCCTCTAGAAACAAAGTGTATTAGGCTGAGAGGGAAAATCTATCTGCTGAATGAAACACTCCCCAGCAACATGGCAGGTGGTACAGAGCAGATAGGCACAGTATACCAGAGAAACTCTGTTTTTTTGTTTGGTTGGGTTTTTTTGTTTTGTCTTGTTTGTTTGTTTTGTTTTTTGAGATAGAGTCTCACTCTTGTTGCCCAGGCTGGAGTGCAATGGCTCGATCTCAGCTCACCACAACCTCCACCTCCCAAGTTCAAGCGATTCTCCTGCCTCAGCCTACCAAGTAGCTGGGATTACAGGCATGCACCACCATACCTGGGCTAATTTTGTATTTTTAGTAGAGACGGGGTTTCTCCATGTTGGTCAGGCTGGTCTCGAACCCCTGACCTCAGGCGATCCACCTGCCTCGGCCTCTCAAAGTGCTGGGATTACAGGCGTGAGCTGCCGCGCCTGGCCACCAAAGAAACTCTTAACCACATG